AGGAAAAGATGGGTCATCCCCAAAACAGCATGAGAAGAGGGCCTGGAGCTGAGTCCTGTTTATTATGGGATTGTTGACTGAAAGTAAACAAAATAAATAATTTGAAACCAGAACTTTTCTTTTTCCATGAAAAGAGAGCTTTCAATTTGTTGTTACCATAGCTATTTGTTACGTAACTGGGCTTTTGGGTATGTTCTCGATGCTGACATAGAGATGAGAAGGCAAAAGTTTTCAAGCCTGTTCCTCAGGTTATGTTATTATTATTATTTTTTTCACAACTCAAATGAAAAGAGAATTTTAAACACAATTCAGTGGCAATTCCTGACCAAGAAGATGATCTCTGACCACCGTCATGCTTTGTCTGGGGGCTGTGTCACCCCGAACCTCCTTTCCCTTTAAGATAGCACTGGGGCCAAAGCCTGTGGTTCTGGGGAAGAAAGGGGGTGACATTTGGGTGGGTCTTGCTGCTGTCACTTTCAGCCCTATTTCAGGCAACAGCATATTTCAGCTTTGAAAGCTTCTCATCATCACACCCTGCTTGTTCTCGCTGAAGAAATAAAAGTGAAAGTGGAATGGATCAAAGATGTTAAAAAATCTTTCCATTCAAAGTACCATCCTTACAAAGGAACATCAATGTAACTCTTCCTTCCTGAAGCAGCTAATTAGGTGCTTGCTACATCAAGACAGGGTGTCTGGCTCACCTCGCAGCTGTGACTGTTAACACCCTGCTACACTTAGGCAAGAGGATATGTGATTACTTCATATGTATGCTGGAGACACATTACCAACAAGCCACTAAGAAATAGTATCATCTTAATCGTGAACTCGGTTTACTTCTGAAATGTAAACACAGAAGTGTTGAGTTCAGCTAATACACACGTGCACACATGCATGTGCACACACAGATGATTTTCTGTTCCCAATAAAGAATATTAGATTTTTAAAAAAGTCTTTGAGTAGATCTCACCCATTTCAAATAATGTGAAGTGGCAGTTGAAAGCCACCCAAGTAAGTTGGGATGGAACATGGAACAGAACCCGGCTCTCTAAGCATCTCTGAGCTCACACTTCGTGGAGATGTTATACCATTCTTCTGTTAAAATTTTCACAATTATTTATGCATTCATCTAAAAAAGTTAGGAGCACCAGCAGCATAGGGATTCTTTATATGCAGTGAGTGTATGTGGTGAGGGTCAATAAAACACCAATGAGGTATGACTTCTCTTCTAAAATGATTCACAGTTGAGTCAAAGAGACCAGCATGTCTGTCCGCACAGTGTGGTATGGGCTGCTGTGGATGTGTAAACCACGAGCAACAGGAGCACAGAGGAGACAGTGTTCTGTGCTGCTGGAATCAGAGGGCGTGATGGGAAGAAAGCTCCAACCAGGAGATCTCATTCGAGTTGGATCTGAAGAATGAATGAGCTTTTCCAAACCAAGGAGGAACTAAGTCAGGAGAAGGTAACTCCAAGGTAATCAAAATAAAACAAAACAAAATTAAAGAAAGGCCGAATGACAAAGGCAGAGAGGTAGGGGTAGCTATGATGTTGTGGGACAGAGTGACTCATTGCAGCTGGGTACGTAAAGGTCTCTGAATCCTGTTCCAAGGAGTGGAGATTGTATTAACCACAGAAGGCAGCCAGAACAATGTTTTGGGCGTGGAGTTGGCAGATTATGTATATTAGAAGAGTATCTGTGTCAACAGAAGATAGAACTGGAAGACCAATGACAAAGGACTAGGAAGAGCTATTATAATGCAATAAATTGTTAAGTAGAAATCAGAGCAAGCGTCAGTTCCAGGCACAGGAGAGTAGAGCCTAAGCAGAGTTAAGTCTCAGTGCGTGTTGTTCCAGGATCTGTTCCATGCCATCGTGCCTGACTCCCTGACTCAGAATGTATCAGCGTCTAAGAAGACTTTTGGACAAAAAGCCAGATCTCAGCAAAGCAGCTGCTTTACTGTTATTGGGTCAAAGTGTGTGCTTTTAGAACACAGCAGTGTTTTCCAAGAAACCTCACCTAGGTAACCCAAACCACTGAGAACCAGAATTTATAAGAAGGAAACGCTTTTTATTAACACACTCTTCTTGGCCTCCGTGTAAAGGTCAAAGAAAACACGTTACCAACAAAGAAGGCACGCTCAGCCAGCAGAAGGAGACAGACTTCGTATATTTATACTCTCTGTGGGTTTTCAGTGAATGAATTTGCAGTGAATGGATTCTGGAAAGCACAAGTGATTGACTCCCTTTCCTTCAGTCAACTTTGTCTTGAACTTGCCCGAACCCCATCCTACCATCCCCAAGTCAGGGGAAAAAGTAGAGTAATGAAGCTTTGTGTGACAGTATATCTGCCACCACCGACCATGACTCTGAGCTCTGCGGATTTGCAAGGTAATTATGTCTTCAAAGTCACAGAAGAGAACTTCATTGGAGGTGCGGCCTTGGCCCCTACTGCTTTCTCCGGAGTAGTTGGTGCAGTGACAGGCGAACACCCCAACACAGTTACTGACAGTTACTAACTGGACAAACTCCTAATGTCTACTGTTCCCGTTCTTCAGAGCAAGAACTAGAGTGAGCAGAGAGAAAATCCTCATTACTGACTGCCTAAACGTAGAGATGATGGAGAGTTTTTTCTAGGTGGCTGGCATCGCTGTATTGTGGAACCAGAGAAATTATAATAAGCTGTCCTTTGGGCCACCCCTCTTGTTCCTTAATAGCCGAAAACAAAACATCGCAAATCACTTCCCAACAAGTAAGTGAATTCCGAATTTGGAAGGAGAGCTTGTTACTGTTTCTCTGATACTCTTTCTCTAAATCTCACTTTTGCATCTATAAAACAATAAGGAAACCACCCTGTAAACCACCCTGTCTGTTTAAAAGGGCTACATAAGGCAATGCATATAAAAATTCTTCTGCTGACAGAAAATAAATAACATGCAAAACTCCCTTCATCCACAAGGCATACAATCTGATCATGAGGGTGTTCTTTTAAAAAGCAATGTATTGGCCTGCATAATCTTAGCTTGGTAGAATACATCAGTGTGATACGTGGTACATGGGAGCCATATGTGATGTTTTCTTACCCTTAGCTACTGTAGGTTACTAGTCCCCTCCCCCACTGTAAGTCACACTTCAGCCTTTCAGCAATGGACACAGCACTCTTAAAGGAGTGCCTTAATCTTGGGCTAGATCCCGATTCATGCAGAATGTTTTGGATTTATTTGTTTCCTTATTGTGATAAAATATGCATAACGTAATATTTCTAGTTTTATCCATTCTTTTTCTTCTTTTTTAACTGAAGTGTAGTTGATTTACCATATTCTGTTAATTTCAGGTTTTACTCATTTCTGTGTAGCGTTCTGTGGAATTGAGCTCATTCACCTTGCAGCATGACTGTCACCACCCTCTGCTTCCAGAATTCTTCCATCTTCCCCAACAGAACCTCTGTGCTCATTAAATACCAACACCCTACTCCTCCCACTGCTTTGCCCCTGGTAACCACCCAGGAAGCATTTTTTAATTATTAGCAGTAAGACATAAAATAACGCTAAGTGCTTTAACACATAAGCCCTAAAGTGTATAATGGCTCAAATCTGTTTGACTCGCTAAAGGAGAAAACAGGTGTTGCTGATTGACAGGCAGTTCTTTTCCCAGCTCTTCAAAAGTTTTGCAAATGTTGACTCCCCCATGATTAGTGTATGGCTTCCAAGTTTCGCATTGCTTGCCTGCCTGAAGCTTACAGGGGGAGAAAGAGAACGTGGCAGAAACCACCTGTGTGGCTTTTCTAGATCAGATCTGGAATCAGCACACATCATGTACACTCAGACTCACTGATTAGATCCGATCTCATGGCCTCTTCTGGGCTTCAGGGGGCCTAGGATGTACAGGTTCGCCCAGAAAGAAGAAGAAATGGATGTGAGGACAAACCAGCTGGTCCCTGTCATACAAGTCACATTAAGAGTGAATCACTATTCATGCCTTTAGAACATTGTTTTCACTTTTCTCTTTGGAAGCTTAATTTGCCCTGGCAGAGAAATAGGTTTCATTTTAAGTATCTCCCAAAACAAAATCAAGCTGAATGGTAAAATGAATATATAATTCTGCTGAGATGCCAGAGCTATCATCTAGGAATAGAAACCTTAAGCAACAGTTGAGTGGCTTAGAAGGAACTCCTTCACATTCGGTCAATTTTATGAGACCAGTGAGGCTATAAATGTCTAGAATCATGTGTGTCCTTAAAGCATACTTTAGGGGTTTCTTTTTCTTATATGTCAGCATCCATATCCATAGGGTTTGTCCTCTCTTAATATGCACAGTAAATCCCACCACGATCAGCAGATTAAATCTTTTGTTGGGAGCCATTAAGCAAATTTTGAATTAGAAAATGAATTGGACACATGCGGGTGTGGCTTGAAGAAAAGGCAAGTAGACACGTGTTGTGCTTTATCCTCATGCAGAAATGAACCTACTTCCTTTCACTAATTGCATTTAACATAACCATGGACCTCAAGCTCTGTACACATCAGCAATTAGCCTCTGCCTTTTCCTTTGGGCCAAGCAAAGAAAATGCATGAATGCATTTATTGGCAATACTGACAAAGACTGACTTGTGGAACAATTCAAACCTTGATTTCTGTCATTAGCTGGATGTTTACGAAATGCACCTTCCTGTCTCCGTTCCAGATGTTTCTTCTCATTTTCCTATCTCTTTGTCATGAGTTTAGAAACTAAATTATAAAGTGTCAAAGGAAGACTTCCATATGCAAGTTTTATGGGGATAGCATAAACTTGAACTCCCCAGAAACCCTGCAAGATTTATTTATAGGCCCTTCCAGTGAATTTACGCCCCATAGTAAGCCTTTGAGGTCTTGCTTTACATGCAGGGTCAACAGGAAATTAGTAAGCAACCTTTTGGTCCCCCTTACTGCTCTTGCTCATTAAATAAAGGTTTTGGCTAAAAGTATTCATCTTGAAATAATCTCTCCCTGCAACTTTTATTTCCCAGGGAACGAGCATTGAACACATCCCAGCCTGGGTCCCTTCAGTTTACTGTGGGAAACCTGAAGCCAGAAGCCATGTACACCTTCCGAGTTGTGGCCTACAATGAGTGGGGGCCAGGGGAGAGCTCTCAGCCCATCAAAGTGGCCACGCAGCCTGAGTGTGAGTATGAACGGGAAGGGCAAATTTAGAAAGTATTTATTTGTGTCGGCAATATCCTTAAATCCTTTCAGAGAAATTTCTTGAAGTGGCAGAATGGAAGGAAGACTTCTAGAGCAGCATGTTTAACCTGAGGGTTTTTAAAGGGAAGATAACTTTATAACAAAATGGCCTTCCCACTCTGGCCATGTCTTCCTAATAACGAATTAACAGCTGTCAAGTCCTAATCCACCCACGCCGTCTGCACACTCATTGCCCTGGGAAGTGACTGACTTATTCTGCCTGCCAGCATTTTATCATCAAAACTGGGTTTCAGCCACCTTTATTGATTTTCCAGATTTTCCAACTTTTTCTATGAAAACTGTAATATCCAAGGAAAAGAACGAGGGCGTAGGACTTCTCGATACAGACAGACTGACTCTCTTCTGATGTTCTCTTGTTCCCATGATCTGCCTGTAGGATTCCCAAGGGGGCTGGGGGTTAGCAAGCTAGTCATCTTTTAACTGCTTACTCTTCATCTGTACTTTTTATCTAGGAAAAGAATCAACAGGTTAAACAAGGCATGGCGTGCATTCAGGAGAGCGTAAGTCAGGAGTTAGTTTCAATTGCTTAATGATCTCATTTGTAGAATTAGGTTTTTTTAAGATTAGAGGAGGACAGAAATCGGAAAACAGCAAACGGGCAAAAGAGCTGCTGCTTTCAGGGAGCTCCACGCTGTACAAGTCTTAGAAATATTTGCCTCACAGAAAGAAAACCTCAGATAGCATCTTTAAAGGCAGAGTAATGTACAGGTTTCAGAGAATATGTAGCAAGTGCAGGCTCCCAGGCAGGACCAGATAAGTTACTTGCAGGACCCAGAAGCTCCGGTAGGGTGTCAGGCCACGCCCCACGTGGGACCCTCCTGAGCGCGGGACCTTGTGCAGTTTCGCCAGCCACATGCCCACAAAGCTGGTCCTGCTTCCAGGTTCCTGTTCTTAAGGATGGTGTATTGCCCTTTGGATTTAAATCGCTAAATGATGCTGATTTCCTCTTCTAAGGGTCTGTGTTCACATATAGTTTGAGTCATCAGTTTCTTCATTGACTTACTCTTCATAGATCATGTATAGAGACAGTCAATAACTTCTGTGAATATTTGATATTTTAATCAATTAAGTTCAATAAACACAAATTAGGTTAAAATATATGTATTTTTTAAAAATAGTGTATGGCATGCAATATACAGATGGATAGTTTAAAAACCCATAAAAATTCTCAAAAAGAGTCTTGCTCAATTTTCTAATGGTAGAACATAGGCTTTAAAAACATGTTTATTTTCAAAAGACCCAGAAATTTATGAATTATCTGAATTCTTCACTTCCCAATCCTACTGTTATCCCTGGAATTGTTTTAGTTTATTTTTCAGGGCTGATTGGCTATGATTACATTATATTTTTGATAAAAATCCTACATGGTCAGCCTCACTTCTAAGACTAACCACAACATTTCCTTTATCAGTACCATTATTTCTAAGTGTCTAGTTTGAAAATCAGTTTCCAGCATTTTAATTTTTTAAAAATTTTAATTTTGAATTATTTTTTAAAATATGTATTTATTTTTGTTTTTTGGCGGAGAGGAGGTAATTAGGTTCATTCCTTCCTTTCTTCCTTCTGAAATCTTTCTCATTTCATGAAAAAAATTAGTCATATACACATTTTTAGTATAGTTAATAAAAAAGAATCGCTCCATGATCATTTGTTATTACGCATGTGGCCTTACCTTTATAATACAAAAACCATGACCTTATTCAATTTACAAGTGTGTTTAATGAACATCTACTGTGTTCCTAACACTGTTCCTTGCCTTCTGAGACATGTTAAGAAAGCATACGTGTAATTAAGGAGCAGTGCTATGTAGATCTCAGAAGCTTCATGAGGGAGAAGGCATTTTATATATGCAACAATAACAGAACAGCTAAAGTAAGGAAACTTGTAAGAATTTATTAAATGAAAAATTAAAAATCTGAATCACAGATTTGCTTGTGAGCCCATTACCTATGATGGCAAAGGTATATTATCTAGGTAATTGTTTATGCTTAAATCATTATGTGGCCACCTCTTTGAATAGGTGCTGTTACAGAGACGGCTGCCTTGGCCCTTTGTCCATCATTGACTCTTCCTCATTCAGAAAGCAGTCTGAGAATTTGTGCAGGAGACCTCACTGGGCACTGGTTTCTATAAGAATTTCCTTTCTTATAAACTAACATAAATGATGATAAGGCACAAAATAAAAACTACATGCATGACTGAGTAAAATGTGTGGCTTGTTGGTATGGTTGTCTCTTGTAAGTGATCTTTTCCCCAGAAGAGGAAAGTGGAAAACCTTTCTGGTTTAGAAACGTGAATGTGCCTTGAATTTTCTTTATTAAGGGGAGTAGTGATGGCCTTGAATGCTAACCATTATTTGGCCTTTAATAACAGCATTGTTTTTATTAAATCGTCTCTCTTCTTACCACCACGTGGAGTAAGAATTATTTCCTTTGCAAGCCATTGTTTACTTGCACGGTGACCTGATTCTGTTTCGCTGAGACTTGTCCTTGGGTAATTTATCTCTTACTGAGTAGACTGGTAGATAGGAAGAGTTCAGCCTAGATAAACAGTGCATTTAGAGTATCTTTCACATGTCACAGAACTCCTTCCATTCATTTAGATTAAGAGTGCTGCATAGCTCCCTTGCTGTCTTTATTACAGACATTAGGATAAATAAATTATGTTATCATGACTAATAGGTACCGCATGTGTATTTTATCTTCGGTTGTTAACACCAAATGCCATTTTGGCGATTTAAAAATATTTCTAGGATAAAGAACACTTCCCGCCCGCTCAGTAATCCACCAGTATCTGAGTGAGATGGAACTTGTTAGAAATCCTGTGCTTCATTTCTTCCCTGTCCCCGCCCCTCTTCCTCCCCCTCCCCCTTTCGCTTCCCTCCTCTCTCGACTTCTCATAAGCCCATTTTTTTCTGTGTTTTTAGAGAAAGTTCAAAGGCTGATTTTATTATCGGGTTAGAATTTCAGAATTTAGAGGCAAAGGTAGGGGGATGTTTTCCCCATTCTTCTCTCCCTGGCGAAATGATCTGATCTTTAGACAATGAATCTTGTCTAGGTACACGTTGGGTTGTTCGTTGTATCACTGTTTTTTCCATCTATGATGTAGTAATTGTTCCCTGAAATGACATAGCTTTCATACAAATATGATTTCAAGTTTTCCACATTATTTGAAAATATCAACTCTCTTATGAAAACTGTAATTCTGAAGGAATAAACACCAATGGAAAATAAGTCTGAAATATAAATCAGCCCGCAACTATTTCTAAAAGAGCATCCATTCTGGAGTAATCATTTAAAGAGATCAAAAGCCCAAGATCCAGGGTATAAAATAATCACCGAGAATACAAAGCCTTGATTTATAGGAAGGTTTCTGTCTCCTGATTACATCTTCCTTTTGCTAAGCCCTTTCTCCTTCCCCCTGCCTTTATGGTGTATAATTTCTCTCCTGTATTATCAGCCGGATTTAAGCCCCTGCCTGCTTAAGACTTGTCTAATCTTTTCATACCACATGTGGAGAATTTTTGAATTATTGTTTGGGGTCTTTTAAAGTGCCGTTAAGGCAGTTTAATCGTGAAGGATGTTAAAATGGACCCCATACTGGCCGGAGGCTTGAGTTAGAATGGGGAGCCTATTTGCTAGATCACAACCCAATTATCCACAAAACCCTTTTATAGTTGAGTTATAAGTAATATTCTTAGTCCATTGTATTCTTTGTAGTGAAAAGATGAGTGAAAGCCATGCCCAAATCCAGTGACTTTCGAATATATTATCCAGAGGAATGGATGTATTTGCTTTTTACCTCCTTCTCCATATTTTTTTTTTACTTCTATTGAGGCTCTAGTTGTATGTTGTTACGGAGAAAAGTGAAAAGTCTCTGAACATTATGTCTTCAAACATTGCTACCTGTATCCTAGGACAAGGTCCTTAATCCTTGAAATCTCATTTTTCCTCAATTATGAGTTGAAGATAGGATTTACTCCTCCATCTCCCAGGTTGTAAAGATGAAATGTGATTACCTGTGAGAAGCCCCTGAGTCCTACCTGGCACCTGGTAGGCACTCAGTAGAGAGAAGTGCCCCTAATGGGATCAAATGGAAATGGAATTCCAACTGCCCTGCATTTACAAACAAAGTGGAACACTCAGTAATCACTGAGGTAATAAGGCAAATACGATACCTTATGGACAGTTTGGAGCTGGCTTGATTACTGTGCAATCAGCCATATTGTATACCGTTCCCCCTAATTATCCCCTCCCTATTACGTAGCAGGCTACTGTTGACTGGTTTGTTGTCTCATTTCACCTATTGTACATTTTTGCATCCCAAACTAAATTTTGATGGTTTATGATCAGAAAACACTGTATTATCCTCTAAAATGTGTCACAGCATTGCCATTTTGTGAGTAGCTTGTTGGTTAACATTTGCTGGTAGAATCTGATTAGTACTTAATGTGTGGCAGAGATAATAAATACCATTGATATTTATTCTTCATGATTCTATAAAGTAAGCAAACCAAGTAAATCACAGTTCTATTTAGCTCATTTTTTTTTATCATTTAAGCTGGTCAATTGCACCGCATGGTGGTTTGGGTGACTATTTGGGATGCCTGTGGAGATGGAGTTGACCGTGAGCCAGTCAGCTGGTTCAGTTGTGTGGTCATCTACGTGGCTATAGACTAATAGTAGAAGGAAAGAAATGTAAACACTGAGATTTCATCTTTTTAGTAACATACAAATGTTGGAGAGTTTAAAAATGCTTTCACTGCAAAACGTTTTCAGGTATTACAAATGTAAGATAGGAGAACTAAAAGGCTTATAGTTTGGCATCCCTAGCAACAGAAGGCTTAAGGAAACCATTTGGATTTAATGGTCAATTAGCGAGGCATTATGTCTTCTACAATGACGTATGTTTAGTGGAAGA